CATGGTCCCTGGTCTACTTAGTCAGAGGAGGTAGTCGACCCAACCTGACAGAAGGATCCTTGTCGGCAGCCATGGGTTTCTTCGTCCAAGGGGACCTTGTAGATCGGGGATGGGTATTTGCCTAAGGGGACAAAATTAAATCCACCTTAGCTAACAGAGGGCTTTGTGCCCTATCAATCATATCCTATTGATTCATATCTCAATGATTTGATGCCAATAAGGATTGTAACGGTGCTGGCCATAACCGGTATTTCGTGGTGCCATTTGGCGGCAAAATCACTCGGTTCAAAGGGCCCCGGGTCATAACCGTTTATCTTGCGGTGCCATTTGGCAGCAAACCGTCGGTTAAAGGACACGTATCATGTCCTTACTAGCAGGAGATTGTTTGAGAATGGATCCTAGTGATATTTTCGACTACGCATTTGGCTCTTTGTGAGCTAAAGTAAATTTTGATTTGTCCACCCCAGCAGACTGTTGCGGAGGGTGGATGAATTTTGTTTTATGTGGGTTGATGGACTTATTTCATTTTAAATATTTTTGGGGTTTTGGGATTTTCTGGAGTTTTGGATTTTCATGGGCATTTGAAGTATTTGGAATGGAATTTTGAGTACTTTGAATGGAATTTTGAGTACTTGGAATGGACCCCTCCGGTTGAGATTTATTATTCAACGCGACCATCATCGGGGTGTTAGGGGTTATTTTCATTTAAAGCTTGAACCTTGTCGACTATGTCTGGCTGTCGATAGAGGATCGGGTTTCGTAGACTTTATACCTTTGAGAGTGAATTCTTTTGATTTAGGCTTTAAAGGCCTAATATGAATGGATTAAAACAAATATTCTGGTCGCCAAGGCCACATATTTGTTTGTTTGTTCGAACCTTGTCGACTTCTATTGATCTGTATAGAAGGATCGGGTTCGAACTAGAATTCACATTAACCCGCGCAGCATCCCTAGACGTCACGTGTGTATCAATAATACGCTCGCTGGGGCCCATGAGGGTGTTTGGGGGCATTTTGTAATTATTTATTGAATCTTGTCGACTACTACTTGCTTAGAAGGATCGGGTTCAGATTTAATAACCCGCGCAGCATCCCTAGAGGTCACGTGTGTACTAATAACATGCTCGTCGGGGCCCATGCTGGTTTCATGATTACTTTTACCCCTTTTAATGTACCTATGTGTATACAAACTATAGTGCACTTACGGGGGTACTTTGAAAGTATTTGTAGACGCCTTATGTCCGCTTGCAAGAATGTTGTGAATCCGATGGCGTATAGTAGCAGCTTTTGGATCAGTTATTTACTGCTTTGTACAGGTAGAATGTCGTGCACTACTTGTATGATTTATGCGGGTAGATGTAGTGCACCAACGAATCTCCTGCTTCCACTAGTAGATGTTGTTATCTACCATGGTTCTTTTATATTTGTCCACATATAGCATGTTGAATATATGTAATGGGTCTCTAATAGTGTCATTGAACTTTTCTGCTTATAGGGAATTGATTGTCTTTTCTTAGAATTTGATCATTGTTGATGATGGAAACGTCCTTATATTCCTTCATCTCTACCTCTTGATAAATTCACAAAGTGTGGATTGTATTCGTCACGTATCAACCCAATTGTCTGCAGATAGATGAAGGGACTCATCTATGAACTGAGGTTAACCACTGAATAAGTTACATCCATTGTTGATGCCCTTCCCACGCATTCATCAATTATCTATCATGTTCATTATGTTTTCCCCTTCAGTATGCGTAGTCAACTACTATATTTACTCATGTGTTCATCATTGTTGATTAGGTAGAAGTCATAACATTCACTGCATGAAGTTTATATAATCTGACTCATGGATGATTTGAGAGTCTTGTAGCACTAGCGATCATCATTACAATGATGTTCATGGAAGAAACTTTGAATCAACTTTGGCAATCAAGTTGAATTTGTTGTTCATGAGTGACAAGTTAGGTATTTTGCATCCCCTAAGTCCTTGCTTGCTTGCATGAGCTTTGAACTAGCACTTTGCGTTCCATTTGAGCTTTCATATTATCATTCAAATCAAGCTCCATTTCAGTTTATTGTTCTTCTGTTGCTTGCTAACAAAACACGCTTGCGAGTTCTCTATTCGTCATGAGCTTTGTGTTTAATAGTTGCATGTAATTAGGAGCTCATTGTTCTGTTAATCATATATTTATCGTACGCATGATGCTATATTCCATAAGATCCGTACAAGTTCAAATTCATCGTCATGTGATATGAATTTGATTAAGTTAGGTTCGTACTTAAGTTCAAGATTCATAGCTCTTGCATTTGTTCACTATAGTCCAACTCAAATCTTTGCTTGAGTTCAATTCCAATCAAGCTCTATTTTGTTATGAATGCATCTCTTTATCGTTCATTGCTTATCTCAAGTAACTCAATTGTATAGAATTTCTTCATCATTTATGAATAAGTGGTATTTGTAAGTTTTCTCAATTTGCCACGATTTCCACTTGTATTCTTCTGCATACGATTCAAGTCTCACAAATTCCTTGTATCAAATTCAAGTTCTATGTCCTTTGTAGTTACATTGAGTTTTTTTTTTTTTTCTCAAGTTCAAATTGTTCAAATCTTTATGAGTGTTTAAGTCCTCTACTCTTTATTTGAGTTTGAGTTCAAGCACATCCTTTGTATTGCCTTCAAGTTCAAGCTTCTTGTAGTCTAGCTGAGTTCAAGTCCTTGCTTGAGTTCAAATAGCAAACTCAAGTTCTTGTTCTCATATTGAATCCCAAGTTCTTAGTGTCTTTTGTTCAATTTTGAATTTAATTCATTTGATTGTTCAAATCAAGTCCAAATAAATCCGAGCCTGAGTTCAGTTCGAGTTCATGTTCTTGTTCTAGTTCAAGTCCCAAATAAAGGTCCTCTGTGGTCTTTGAGTTTAAATTCAAGTTTAGATTGAGTTCACTTAGTGTCTTTTTGAGTTCAAATGAGTCCAGGTACAATCTCGTTTTCACCCGAAATTTCGGCAACCTCCCGGCGTCTCCCCCGTTTAGGGGAAAACTACGAGAAAACTGGGTCTTTCCCACCACGCGCAATAAAGGCGTGTATGGTAGGTGTCCTCGGACGAGGAAACCGCGGCCATGATTTCTCTTACCACCACGCGCAATAAAGGCGTGTATAGGGTCTTTGACAGTACCTGTTTAAAAGAGTTTGCTTTCCCCCCGCTCGGGGGTACTTATAAGTGACCCCGCCTCGCCGTAGGTGCCGCACCAGTGTCCCATCCCACCACGCGCAATAAAGGCGTGGATAGGAGGTTTTCTGGTGCGCCACGAACGCCGAAGTAGAGTTTAGGTGATTGCCCGCCTCGTCGTAGGCATCGAACCGGGGTCCCATCCCACCACACGCAATAAAGGCGTGTATAGGCGATTTTCCGATCCGCCGCATACAACGGAAGCGACAATCTGAGTTTAGGAAATCCTTACCTTCGCGGGCTTGACGGTTTCGGCATGTGGATTGAGAGGAGGAAGACGGAAGGAGATTTTCCCCTTCTCTTTTTGAATTAATTATAATTAATATTAATTAATTATAATTAATTAATTAAATTATTTTTAATTAGTTGCTTATAATTAATTATAATTAATTAAGGTTTATTAAAATTAATTAAAACTATTAGTTATAATAATCATAGATTAATTATAGCTAATTAATATTAATTAATTTTAATAAATTATAATAAAATAATTATTAAAAAATTATTATAATTAATTAAAATTTACTTCAATTAAAAAATAATTATAATTAATTAGACTAATTATAATAATTTAATTAAAGTTAATTATAATTAATTATAATAATTATAACTAATTAAAAATAATAATAATCAATTAAAATAATTTCAATTAAACATTTATTTAATATATTTTATTTTATATTTTCTTTTTGAAATCCCTCGGGTAGGCGGATTTATGGGATTTGGCCAAAGTAGTGTGCGAAAGGGATAAAGTTACCTTCACGGCACGAGCTCCTGTTGTCTTCCGATCCAACAGAGAAGGGAATGCGGTCGAGTGAGCAAAGTCAGGCAGAGGAGGCGCCGGCCAGGTGGAGTTCTCCCTCTCTCTCACACACACTCTCTCTCGGCTTGGGGTAGGCACAGGCAGTCGGAGGAGGCAGGAGCTCAGTTGTTGGGTTCGGCCGGCTCTGGAGTTCGGTGGGATGTGGAGGTGGCTCGGGATTTGGTCGGAGGATGTAGGAAGAACTCCCTCTCTCTCTCTCTCTCTCTCTCTCTCTCTCTGGGATCGGGAGTTGTGTCGTCGGCTTCAGTGGAGATGGAGGAGAGGTCGTGGATTTTGGGAGGAGAAGAAGAGCTTGTGTGGAGTCGAGCGTGGAGAGCCGTGGGAAGAAGCGAACGAGAGAAGAGAAGCAGAGAGTGTCGTCAGATCCCCGAATGAGGGGGCTGCCCTCTCGTTTTAAAGGCGCGATCCGGGATGCTATCGAGACCGGTTTTCGCGCAGGAGGTGCGGAGATACGACGTGAATCGGCGCTGCCAGCGTGATTTCAGCAGGATTTTGAGGATCCGATGGTTTACAGGTATGATTTACGGGATTTTCATCTTTGTTTCTTCTGGATTTTATATAAAGGTCAACATGGTTGAGTATTAAGAACAAAAAAGGAAGAATTCAAACTTAAATGATACATAGGATCCCTATAAGTTGATTTGGTATGTGAGAATGCAACAAACCATTGCTTTCAAACATAGAATTCCAATAAAGAAAGCAAAAACCAACTGACATCAAAGGGAAGATTTTGCTAACAATCAAGACTTTAAACTCAAATGAATGCAATTAGTATTGGGGCCCTGAAAAATGTTAGAGGCATAGATATTGATGTTGATAGACAAAAAAAGTTAAAAAATAGAAAGTAACTTGAAAAACAACAGTTTGTACAATGAATCAACTCCTGAAAATGGTTTGAAAGAGCATAAACATTACCAAAAAATTCTGGAGAAAGTAGACAACATGAAGATACCTTTATGGCAAATAGGTCTCCTGTCGTTCTTTTCTTGGCCAAGAAAACCCGGCCAAATGCTCCACGGCTAATTGGCTTTATGATCTCAAAATCATCAATAGATGTGCGGTCCTTATTAATAGGGTGAACAGGACTTCCCCGTAGGCTACGCGCTACATCTTCCTCATCCATTATAGTATTTGTTACATCAAACTTTTCAAGGTCAATTGCATCGCAGAGCTGAAGGTATTTTTCCCTACAAATAAAGAAACAGAACGAAAACAGAAATTTTTTTAAGCTTTCCCAGCCAGACAAAAAGCTCTCAAAATCGCTAGTAAAATCCAAAAGTAGTTCAACATTATAGTAAAATACATATCCATGCAGCACAAGCTCTTGACAGTGTGCAGGTATAGGCTCGCAGTTGTTAATTATTTATATTTCTACATGTGCATGTAAGGACAAATACATGTGCCTTCTCTATATGCATGCATAATGATGAAAAAAAGTAAAAACACAGACATGGAAACACAGATACATACAAAAGAACTGGAGAAGAGAAAGTCAACTCACTGGTGAAGTTTTTCAATGCGTGTTCCAAATGTCTGTACAGTGAGTGCCTCGAGCTTCCGATGATTGATAACCTCTTGCAGATCTTCCATCCATGAGACCAAATATGATAGAGACCTCTCTTCATCAATAGGCGTATTTGCAACACAGCGGGCAATGTCAGCAAGCTCAGCTATCTACATTACAGATTATAAATAAATTTAAAAACTTGATGAGGAACTCATGATGAATAAATAGAGGATAAGGATTCATAAAGCCCAAGCCCAAAATCATCGAAGATAAGGATAATGATGATCAGGACAGAATGCTTATGAAAGGAGGGTCAGATTCTCCCTTAAAGCATGTCAATGACAACAATGTGTTTCATCAACTGGAAAACCTCCAGATTCAAATATTTTTCATGTCATGGAAAATAATGAAAATTTTTTGGACCAGTATAGTGTTAGGATATCAGAAATCAGGGGGAAAAATAAGGCCCAGCTTAACAATATATAAAATAGTACCATACCACAAATGAAACAAAGACCTTCAAAGATTGATCTTTTTTCCTTCAAACAAAATTCATAACCTTGACTTTCCTCGATTTGGATAAATAATGAGTGGATCCACAATGTCAAAATTCACTAATGGTTAAAGGATGAGAGCAAAAGAAAAATAAATCAAAAAGATTTCAAGTAAAATCAGCTGGATGACAGTTTTTGTGTTCAATTACAGAAAAAAGGCACTGGATCTGGCGGGGAGTCGGGACACTTTAAAGTCCACATTGGTCAGAAGAAACATGCACAAACACCACATTTGCATAGTTTTTTCCCAATAGTTCCCGAGTTACACAGTTGAGATCATACAAGTCTTATAAAGATCATAAATGCTTATAATGGCTAGAAAGAAGCAATATAAAGTTTACTACCTGGGGAAGATCCTCACTTTCAGATATTGCACTCCTAAAAGCCAAAAGCATGTCTATAAAGTTGTTTCTTGGTGTAACTAATGGTGATCTTGGAGTCATGCTACCACCAGATGAGGAAGCCATTGCTTGATCAGACTTTGGACCAAAATGTGTTTTACATGATATGGATGGAAGGCTTTTCAAGTCATCCAAGAAATCCGAATTATCAGTCTCCTGGCAGCAGTCAATCAAATCAGCCGATCCTCTACTAAACCAATCACCTAGCTTTGGAGAAAGGCCATCAGATTCTTCAGTATTACTGTAATTCGATACTTTAGCAAAATCCAGGCTTCCAGCTGAATTAGGGATTTCCTTCTGCGAATAAGATTCTATCATTTTATCTAAAGTCTCAGCAATTCTAAGAAGACGCTCATCAACACTTAAACCCTTTTGATCACATCTATCAGCAACTGCGCAGATTTTTGAATGATCCTCTACATATAAAGTTGGAACGTACTCCTCACATATACGACACATTATTGAACCCTCTCCAGAAAGATTTTGTTGATCACTCCAGTAACCCCAGGAAACATCGTGCTTATGTGTGGATGGAGCAGAAGGACGCACATTTGCATCTCCAATACCAACTACCTCAGGTGGATTAACTGTTCCCATGTCAGAATATGCATCTTCTCTCTTAATTTTTGTCTGCACTTTCTTAAAAGAAGAGTTTTCCATAGAACTGGTTTCTTTCTGTTTTTTTACGGAAGAAGGGAGAGGTTTCCAAGAAGTAATGCGTTCCCTTCTTGAAGGTGAATCCTCTTCCTTCAAGTAAACAGGTTCAAATGTTGAAAAATAATCTGAAGGTTTTATCTCCTGACTTCTCAGTTTCAAATTATACTGGTGACAGTAAGACTTCCTCGAAGCAGCAGCCACTTTAGAACCCCTTGCAGCATTGGCGCTTTTACTGTCTTTACCAGATGAAATATTTTTATCAAGTGAGCGCAATTGTCGAATGTCCAAAACAACCTCATCCTCAGCAAAAACACTCTCCTTGTGGACCTGAAGCAACCTAGTGCATCTTGTCAGAATAAAAAGCATCTGAGTGTGGAGCTTCTTCAGTACCCCCATGGAGAGAGCTTGACGTCGATCATCCAAATCCTGGACTATGCCTTCGCATTGGATCCAAAACTCCCCAGGAGTCATAACACAACAGCTCCTGGCAAGCACCAGTAAATCTTCTAATGGTTCCTTCCAATCTGGATGAGTCTCTGCACTCTTCTCCAGCAAGCCAACCAAATCACCCCCAAAAATAGCTAGTTCTGAGTTTACCTCTTCCTTAGCCTTCTCAAACTTCATCTGAATATCTTTTAACACCTCCTAATACAAGAAGAACAAAAACTAAAAATTACAAACAGCGAAACAAAAAGTAAACTCTCCTGCGCATATGTCAGATGCTTAGAAACAAATACAAACATAAAAATAACAGTTCATATCGACAAAAAAAAGGTATTATGGAGGATTACCGTCAGGTTATAGATGTTTCGGGACTTCCAAAATGGAAAAGGCCTTACACCCTTAGAGTTCAACTCATGCGAAAAGCTTTTAATATCTGCAGGAAGTCTCTTCCTAGGTGCATTTGTTGCCTTCATTATGGATTTAAAACGAGGAGATTCAGACTCTTCTGGTGGTTCAAAGGAATCATATCGAAACTGCTGCAAAAACAGATCATCATTTATTAGCTGTCAAGCTAATTAATTGCAAATCAAGAGAAATTTACAAAACAGAAATTCACATTCAGCACACCTATTGATGCAGGTAAAATTGTTTTTTACCTCTGCTTCAGAAGCACGACTAGCAACGTTCTTAAAACCTTTATGAGACTGGTAATTTTTTCCTGGGCAGAATTTGGCAAAATCAATATACAGAACCCCAAATGTCTAATTACAGCATACATTAGTAGCATCCGGCACATCTACAAGTTGACAAAAGGAAGTGGAACCGAATAAAACTGTGTAAAAGCAAATCTAAGATATTTTCCATAAGTGAAGAAATTGATGGAAAGAAAATATGCATTTTCTTAGCAGTGCAATACTTGTGAGAAAGGTGCAACTACCATGATGAAAGGCAGACAACGGATTTGTAAAAAATAGTAGAAAATAGGAAGAAAATGTGATAAAAGATACCAGTGAATCCTCAAGCTATTCGTGTTGAATCCAAAGGTTGGCATTAAGTTGATTTGGGCGAAACAAATGAGAATCTAAATAAATAAATGAGTCCAGGATGATTCAAACTCGACTCAAAATCAAAATATATTGAGTCAAGTCATCTTAACTTAAAAAGAGCTGATACCAATTCAACTCAAAATGAGTTCAAGTTGACCGTAATTAATCTTATTTGAAAGTAAAATAAATTTAAAAAATATGTATAATCCTAATAGAAGTTTAAGCATATACCCTATGTGAGCAAAATTAAAATTTAACCACCAAGTTACATGTTGAAATCACAAACAAGCATAAAAATATAATACAATATATATTTTTTAAGTAACCTCAAATCACATTTCAAGCAAGCCTCTAACTCAAAATTGAGTATAAAAAGGCCTAAGTTGAGAGGTCTATTAATAGGTTGATTCAAAATTTAGCAAGTCTATTTTGTATCGATACATACCTCGAGCAAATTTTGAAGCAGTTTAGAGTTTTGAGAATATTGAAAACCCTGTGTTGAATACTCAAGATATTGGGTGTTGAATCGTCAAGACAAGAACATTAGCAAGCTAAGCAAGGCTTGCATAGTTCAAGCCTATATTAAGAAGTCCACACATATATTCCAATTTATCAAAAAATTAAAGTCTAATTGAGGATAAGTAATGATTACACTTATTATATTCAAGCAAAATTTAAAAAATGATAATAAAATCATAAAATCTATCAAAATTAGTAATGAGCCAATAAACTTGCCCAATTTAGCCTTTTTTGGGTCCAAATTTGACTCTTGGGTTTTACAATTGAAAAACTCAATCAATATAAACCAATTAGTTAATAATACTGCAAGCTAAGTATAAGCATTATTATCCTCTTTCTTTTTTAAAACTCTCCATAGCACTTCTCTTAGAACTTTTATCATAAGCTTTCTCTAAATCAATAAATTACAAATGTAGATCCTTCTTATTTTCCGTATACTTCTCCATCTCAATAAATGTATAGCTTCCATAGTAGAGCTACCCGGCATGAATCAAAATTCATTTAGAGAAACATTAGTATCATGTCGTAACCTATGCACAATAACTTTCTCCCAAAGTTTTAATTCTTGTATAATTCATACACTCTTGTGCATCACCTTTATTCTTAGAACTAGGAATCAACACACTCCTCAACTCATCTGGCATCTTTTCAGTCTTCAAAATAATATTGAAAATTTTCGTAAGCCAAGAAATTCCTTCATCTCCTAAGTATTTTCACACCTCTATTGGAATATCATCATGTCCAACAGCTTTTCCACACTTCATTTTCTTTAAAGTCTCTCTAACTTCGGTGTTAGTAATACACCGATAAAAATAATAATCTTTATTTTCATTTACGGTGCTAAGGTCACTAAAGGCAATGAAGGCTCTGATACCATGTTAAATTCAGAGAATTGGAGTGGGAAAAGACTTAATCTTATTATACAAAACTATCTCTATTTATAAATCTATACAAGATATCTTAATAAGGAAATAAATAATTATATAATAATGCATAATTGTCCTAATATAATCCTTCCTAAATTAGCCACCCGAATATCTTGTATTATATGCAACAACAACTAGCCTGGTCAGAGTTCTATAGTTATGAAATAGAAAAAATAAATTGGACAACATAAATGTGATAAATTCATTGACGACAAGGGCAAATGGAGCTGATTTTTCGATTCTTGACATCTCATGTTTAATATCGATTGCATTATATGTTGATGGTGTCTCACTTTTCATATCATATTGAATGCAACACCTCTGTTTGGCAATCCAATAATAAGAGTCACATCATCTACAATGAATGATAGCTCATGACCCTTGAGGATGAAGCATTGCCTTGGCATATCCCATAATGAAGACAACATGAATATTAGGGGAACATGCTGCTGGTAGACAGGGATCTCCAGAAATTGATGTAGATGTAATTCCTTTAATATGTCCACAAAATCCTAGCCATTAACCAAAGAGTTGCAAATATCTCTAAATGTTAATATTATACAACGAAAAGTGATCTTTAGAACATAAATCTGCAACATGTACAGGGATTAACAATATTTCCATCATAATATCCATAATAAACAGTTGTGCAATACACAACAATACACAACTCAATTAACAGCAATACACAACAATACACATTAATACACAGCAATATATAGCAATGCACAATAATAAGCAGCAATACACAACAATACACAGTAATACACAGCAATACATAGTTTGTATTAAAGAAAAAAATCATTTTTAACATAAATTTTTCATAAACCCTAACAAGTATTTTATATAAACCATTTACATAACCAATAGTTTCAGCATTTCAACATATCCAATGAAGATAAATCTAACCATAACTTTAGCGTCCGCATGTAATAATTTATCCTAGAAGAAGATAGTGATCCTTGTTCGAAGATGAAGAGCACCTGAACTGAGAAGCTGAAAGGAATCGACGATGAAAAGCAAGACCGAATGCCAGGACTTTTTGAATGCCGTGATTTTAAAATTTTCATGGACCGGGTTTAAATATGTTCATCATTGGACTAGTGGACCGTGTCGGGTCGTCGGGCTGCACGTGTCAACATTTTATTGGAGTTCGGACGTAGAGCTACGTCCGGACTGCGCATAGAATAATTTCTCCTTGAATAGAACTACAACATTATTTGATCATCCTTCATTAATTAGAAAACATTCTCGCATATTACAAAAATAGCAGAATACTGAGTTATTTCAATGGTGGATGCCGAGTGAAAGTCATACTTTCGTGCACAAATTTGCAATCATTCTCATGGATTACCAATAATAGCAACAATTTAAATTGTATAGACGGTGGCAACTGGCAACCAGCATTGAAAGTAGGAAAACCCCCATAACTGCACTTAATTCATAAAGATAATCAGCATAGGAAGGGAAAAAAAGCATGCCTATAGAAGCACCCAATGTTGCTCCATTCGGCAGAGTACGATCAGGCTGACTCCTCTCTTGATCAGCCCACGAGCTGACATGCGCCTCTCGAACCTCCTTCAGCCCCCGAGCATCATACTTCTTCATGCTGACCTTCCCAGCTCCTAAAAGAGCCGAAGAGGACGACATAGCCGTGGCCGACGAAGAGGAAGTTGAGCAGCTCCCCTCCCTTCTAAGGTTGCTGCTGCCAATTCCGGTGACCCTGTTCTCCCGGTAAACCTCCTGCGGCAGCGGCCCTGATCTCGTCTTGATGCGGTTCAACCCGAGGGAGGAGGCCAGGATAGGTGAAAGCGACGAGCCCGTCACTTTCCCTGTCCCCTTCCAAATTTTCCTCGGAGAGAAAGAAGCGCCACTGGTTGACGAGGGCTTGACCGCCGCCTTCCCCTTCTGATCACTCTCATTCCCCCCCTCCTCCTTCTCTTTCTCCTTCTTCTTCTGCTGCTGAACCTTTGCCAGATCCTTAGCGGTGGTGCGGCGGCCGCTGCTAAAGGAGGTTAAAGGAGGCTCTTCCCGAAAAGATCGGACCTTCTTCTTCTCGAATCTGGAAGCCGAACCGAAAGTGTTAGGTCGGGGGCTGCTCGAGCCCCCATCAGGGCTGGAAGAGTCGGAGGACTTCTTTGACGAGAAGAACTTCCCTTTGAACCCCATCACGGCCTCTCTCGCACACTCCCTCTCACTCCTGCTCACACTTGATCTCGTTCTCCGGACTCTCCCGTCTCCACGCTTCCGCAGCAGCAAGTCGCCATACCGGAGGCAACTGAATGCTCCTCGGTGGGAAAAATGATCAAGACGATATAAAATGCATTGGGTGGCTATCCGGATTGGGATGCCGCGCACGTAATAATCTCTCCACCAGATCCTGGCGGCAATGGTGGTAAATTTTTACAGAGTATAGTAGCGGAAGACAATATCAAGACTAGGGTGTCAATATTAGACACGATCTGAAAATTCGATCCGAAAATTTCGGGTTCATGTTAATCTGAACCCGAATCCGACCGGGTTCGGGTTAAGGTTTTCAACCCGTTTGCAAACTCAGGTCGGGTTCGGGTTGACCCGAAAACCCGGAAATAACCCGGAATGACCCGCTGCCCGCACTGACCGGGGTTGACCGAAGCTGCCGCACGGAGTCCGAGCCTGACTGCGCGTCGCTTCGCGAGTCGCATCGCGCGTCGCTTCGCGAGGCGCATCGCGCGTCGCTTATGCCCGCCGCGCAACTGCTCGCTTGGAACTGGCCGCTGCGCCACTGATGCTGGCCCGCTGCGCCGCTGCCGCTGCCCGCCGCACCTCATCACGCTGCGAACCGCCGAACGGCCGAACCCACTGCGTCCCGCTGGCGCTGCGAAATGCGAAGTTGCGAACCCGCGCCGCTGCCCGCATTGGATAACGGGTCCTATCGGGTTGACCCGAACTCGAAGCGGGTCGGGTTCGGGTCCAAAAAATCAACCCGTTTGCAAAAACGGGTCGGGTTCGGGTTGACCAGATTGGTGCCGGTTTAGCTTCGGGTTCGACCCGAACCCAACCCGTGACTCAAAATTGACACCCCTAATCAAAACAAAATTTCAATTCATTCCATATTACATACTTTTCTTAAGGACTGCAAAATTAAGTATGGCTCATTTAATTAACTATTAAGCCTAGAGATTAAATAAAAATTATTAATCTATCTATTATATTTAGGAGGATTTCAATATACCTAGCATCCAAATTCTTCAAATTACATATCTAACATATAAATCATTAATTACTCACATAACCCTTAAAACTTTAAATATCATTAAAAATATCGTAGCCTCCAAATATCATCTACGTAGTCGAGATCTCATCTTGCACGTATTTGCACGACGCCAATCCCATTTGCTTAATCACATACAATCAACCTTGATGAGGTATGGGGCAGTTGTGAGAGACGAAATTAGATGGCATTTGGGTGAATCTACGTAGATCTAGCTTAAGCTCAAATGTCTAAGAATTTGAGGCCTCTGAAATTAGATTAGTGCGAGTTGGAATGGAATTAGGAAGGTTTAGTTAGTACAAGATGAAGACAAGTTTGGACTATGAGAGATTGCCGAAACTGTTAAAAAATGATGAGATGGGAAGAAGAGCTAGGCAAACAATTGATTGTTGCATAGGGTTGCGAGATGGTAGGAAATCAAGCACCATGGCATAGGGTTGGTGGAGAAATTGGGTGATGGACATACAAAAAAAATGCTTGGTGGAGGAGAGGACAATAAGCGCACCAATGTTATAAACTCGAAAAAAGATAATGATAAATGATAGTTTTAAACTTGTCAAAAACTCTAAAAATGGATGATTGAGGTGGGAGACTTACATTAGTGGGGAACTTAGATTTCATTTGGGATGAATTGTTTACTATTTAAAGCGGCTTTTTAGTTTTAATTTTTAAACTAAAAAATTGTTTAAAAAATAATAAGAAAGTCGTCATAAGCGAAACCTTAGTTCATTTCATTGATATCATATATCACATGATAGAAAGGGTATATAAAACTAACAGAACTTATGGTCTCATTTAACTACTATATTAAGCACTCAAGTTTACACAGACTGTTAAGCTAACAATTTATTTATTTTTTATTCTCTTTGGCGGTGTGTACAAAGGGTAGGGATGTAGTCAACGCGAGCTGATGACTCGCACTTACTAGGAATTCCTCATTGAAGACCAACAATTGCAATTATCTATACTCATCACGATGAAATTTTCTAAAGATTACTCGGGCCTGTCGGACAAGGCTATATACTCGTTGAATACATCAGTGTAGCGAGCGTGCGGCCCAAAATATCTAAGGGCATCACAGACCTGTTATTGCCTCAAACTTCCGTGGCCTAAAAGGCTATAGTCCCTCTAAGAAGCTGGCCGCGCAAGTTGAACTTCATATAGCTAGTTAGCAGGCTGACGTCTTGTTCGTTAACGGAATTAACCAGACAAATCGCTCCACTAATTTATTTATTAATACAAATAGAATGATGCAATTAAGAGATCTTCTATAATTATTCTCCTTAAATAATGGAATTGGTGGTTCAAGCCTAAAAATGTACTTTGTGCAACTGTTTGGAGTAGGATAGGAAGTCAATTGTTTTAAGCAGTGGCCTAATTTCATTTTTTTCAAAAAATTTCTTACTTTTTTTCATTGTGGCTTGGGGCCATAGTTCTAGAAATTGCTTTGTTATATTCATTTTTTTCAAAGATAAAATATTAAATAAAGGATAACAAAAACTTATAATTTATTATATCTATTTTTTATATTCTAGAAGACTTAAATTATTATTTTATTATCATACAATCTAATATTTTTTTTGTTAACATAACCGACTAAAGCTAACTTCAATTCAATTTCATATTTGATTCTTTATAGTAGTGCAGAAAATAATCTTTCAACTCTTGTTGCAACAAATAGCACTAACGTCAATTTTAATTACTCAACTCTCAAAGTTGCATATCAATGACGGTATAAAATATCACAACTTGAAAATGATTGAAATTTATCACTCTTCATAAATAAATAAAAAATTAAATAGATGTGAACATAAATTGGCTAAGATGGTCTAAATAGATATGTATTCTACTAAATATTACATGTTAATAATGTACATGAAATATTTTAGATGTTAGTGATCCAAAAGCATCATGGATCCCATTTCTTTACCCATTAATAAGTCCAGAGAAGCTCACAAGTAAAACTCATCCAATTTACAACAATAGTACAAATAAGTTACATATCTTTACTTACAATAGACAGAATCAGATAGATCTATTCAGGCATGAAAAGAATAAAACAAGTGCAAGTCTATATATTGCATGACTGAATCTACACAAGCAGGAGAGCAATTTTCAGAGCTCCATCTTGATTTCTGAACTAAGATTCCCTAAGTACTCCACAACTTTCTTAGGAAAATTAGCGAGCACCATGCGACCACCAGTATATCCATTCATTAGCAACTTTCCAATCTTAGCCCTCCATTCCGAAAGAATCACATTTCTCCTGTCGTGGACGACTCTGTCGCGGTAGTTGAGCAATGTTCCAAACCCAGTATTCCGTGCCCAACCATAGGCTTCCAGAACAAGAGCCTCTCCTTCTGACAGATCTTCCCCAACCTTTAAAAAACATAGAAGAGCTAAAATTAAATAAGAATATAGCTCACCTTAGCCTGTCGGTTGAGAGCTTAGGCTTCCAATTAAGAGGACTTGGGTTCGAGTCTTTGGCTTAGTTTGGGACGACTTTCTTTTGCTTCTTAAAGTAGTTTTCTAGTATAAAAATTTTAGTTTTTGTACTAAAAAGCTGCTTTATGAAGCAGTAAGAAAGCTGTCTCAAACGAAGCCTTTGTGTATACATTGTGTATGGGTTTGCCTTAAATGGCCTAAATGTCCCAAAAAAAAAAAAATTTTAAATAAGAAACATGATATGTAGGGTATATACATTATGCTTAACCTTCAATGGGCATGGTGACGACAATTGATTCTATTTATTCAACTACAACAACAATATTAAACCTTCGTTCTGCTACATGGGGTCGGCTACATGAATCATTTTTGTACAATTCTATTTAATCAACAAAGAAGGGGAAAAAAATAGGGAAGAAGAGCTATAATAATCTAACCAATGATGCAGAAACAGCACTTCTTACAGCATAGTCAGATTGCATCATCACTGTACCTCATCAATATATTTTGACAGAAAAGACGACACTGGTTTTAATGCAATTAAGGAATGTATTCAATTTGATGAACATGTGGCTTCCAAGTGTTCATTTGGTCAGTGTGGTTCAAAGGACGGCATGGAAAAGCCACGACTGAGCAGCTCTATGAGAATTCAGCAGCAATAAGTTATAATATAGTCTGATGACTTGAATATAAGAATGATTTCTCCTTTATTTTCTAAAACTCTCCTGAGCATTTTTCTTGGGACTTTGTCATATGTTTTTTCTCTAAATTAATAAATATCATATGTAGATCCTCTTTATTCATTCTATACTTCTCCATCGAACCTCTTAATAAATGTATAGCTTACAGAGTAGACCTACCTGGCATGAATCCAAATTGATTTTGAGAAACATTAGTATCATGTTATAACCTATGATCAATAACTCACACCCATATTTTTTTAAAGTATGACACATTAACTTAACCCTTTTATAATTAGCGCTCTTATGCATCACCTTTATTCTTAAAAATTGGAATCAACACACTCCTCCACTCATCTAGCATCTTTTTAGTCTTCAAAATAATATCGAAAAGTTTTATAAGCCAAGAAATTACTTGAAATCCTAAGTGTTTTTACACCTCTATTGGAATATTATCAAGTCTAACCGCTTTTCCACACTTCCTACTTTTTAAAGCCTCTCTAACTTTGGTTTTACTAATATGAAAATAAAAACAAAAATATATATTTTCATTTAGGTTGTTAAGGTCACTAAAGTCAATAGTATTCTTACAATCTTTATTGAAAAGCTTATCGAAATATCTCATCAACCTTCGTAGAATATCATCTTCTAATAAAAATACTTTTTCATCTTCATCCTTAATGCACTTCACTTGAATTAAATCTTCACTTATCATATCTATTTGTTTGGCTAGCTTATACATATGTAGGCTCCGAAAATTTGCGCCATGGCCTCTCCGCAAACCCCTCCCTTCCTTTCTTTTTTCTTCGGGTCGCCGAGAAGAGTTTTTAATAGTAGGTTCCGGGGTAAATTTTCATAAGTCAAATTGAGTTTGAAATAAAACACTACCCAAATATTTTGCCCTCATTTTGCTATGACTTAGTTCTGATCCTATAGGCGCAAGCCCCTATAAGTGATTACATCTCCCAATAACGAGAGAGAACTTTTGATTAAGGCTAGTCGTCAAGCAGATACGTAGAGATACGTGGTATCTGACGTATAGTAGCAACATTGGTTTGGTATGTGAGAATTTAATATTTAAAATTGAAATTTCACCATCTTGCACTTAGAGCAAATGGTGGGGGGCCCGATCAAAATCCCATGGTTCTGTCGTCCCGGGCCATTGTGATCCCTGGGCTACTTAGTCATAGGAGGAAATCGACCCAACCTGACAGAAAGATCCTTGTTGGCAGCCATGAGTTGCTTCGTCCAAGGGTCCTTGTAGAACTAAGGTAAATATTTATCTCAGGGGATAAATTTGAATCCACCTTAGCTAACATAAGACTTTGTGCCCTATCGATGATATCTAATTGATTCATATCTCAAGAATGTGGCACCGTTTGGGAACATACGGGCTCTAACCATAACCGTAATATAATGGTGCAATTCGACAGCAAAACCATCTAATTCAGAGGGTCCCGGTCATAACCGTTTACATGTGGTGCCATTTAGCGGCAAAATCTACAGTGTGGTGCCATTTGGCGGCAAAACTACATGTTAGAGGACACGTGACATGTCCTTACTGGCAAGGGATAGATTGAGAATGAATCCTAGTGATATTCTTGACTAGGCATCAACTCTTTGTAAGATGAAATAGTTTTTGGATTTGTCCACCTCGAAAAATTGTTGTGAAGGGTAGATGAGTATTTGTGCTATAAGTGTTTGATGATTATTGTAATTTTAAATATCTTATGTTCTAATATTTTTGGAATTTTGAATTTTTTTTTGGCATTTTAAATGTTTGTGGTCTTCTTCGATTGAAATTTTCGATCAATACGGCCATAATTGGAGTTTTCATGGGTTGTTATATTTTTTTTTTATTGAACCTTATCAACTCGATCTGCCTACTTGCCGGCAGAAAATTGGGTTCAAATCTCAATTCCTTTCCTAACCAGTAGAACATCCTCAGATGTCATGTGTACCTACAATACACTCGTCGGGGCTCATGCGGGTGTATGCTTTTTCACATATCATGTTGGACATATTTATACGACAATTATATGTATGCATTGAATGTGCATGACATAGTTGTCAATGGCGCAAAATAGCGCGCGCCATGGAGTACGGCGCGACGCGTGAGCCATGGCGCATGGCGCACGGCGCACGGCGCACGACACAAAATAGCGCGCCAAATTATTTTTAAATTTCATTATACTTATGAATATTTTTCACAAGAATTTCCAACTTAACAGGTATGATTCTTATTGATTGCTAGTTGAAGTGTTTCACTAACAACCATTATTTAGAGGCATACACCTCTTAAAATTAAAAAAAAACACTCAATACCGCTAGGTACATGCTCGGTGCCGCTAGGTACATGCACGATACCTCTATGTATATGCTCGTTACCGTTAGGTACATGCTCGGTACTGCTAAGTACATGCTCGGTACCGCTAGGTACATGCTCGGTACAACTAGGTACATGCTCGGTACCGCTATTTAAATGATCGGTACCGCTAGGTATATTTCCATACAAACGACTTACAAACTTTAAAAATAAGCAGGTCAAACCCCGCCAGGGGGGCAGCGCCCCCTTGGACCCCCGGCAGCTCGGCATATTATTGTATTCATCATCTTTAGTAATAGTTAATAGTGTTAGTCTACTTCTTCATGAGTGCATGCTTTGTATAAGTTTTCTTCATGAGTGCATGCTTTGATTAGAAGACATTGGACACTATAGGAGAGGAGGAAAGAGTGAGGACTTTAAATGTGATTTTTTGTCTCTAGGATAGCTTGTCTTTTATTTTTAATGATATTTCATATTCATGCTTATTATTTTATAATTCTTATATAGTTTGCGCCATGTTCAAAATGGTGTGTGCCGCACCGTGAGCTATGCGTCATGGCTCCAAAGGGACCGTTGCGCCATGGTGCGCCATTCGCCGTTAACAGGTATGGTGCATGATATACATGTTGTACATGCATGTGTACATATGCATCAGCATGAATACTTGCATGTTCGTGTAAAGGTTATGTGTATTATAATGCATGTACACGTCATATTTTTGCATGTAAGTATAATATTGAAAAACGTACTTAAGTGAAGCCCTCTGCTTATTATAAATGCAAGCGGGGGTATTTTTTAATGTGATTACAATGTCAAATGACATTCTGGAATGAAACCCCCTACATCCTACCAATACATGCAAAAAATTATTTTAAATTATAATTATAATGTCAATTGATATGCTTGAATGAAACCCTATACATCCTATGAATGCATGCTAGAGGTCATTTTTGTATGCAATAGCAATGTCGAGGTAACATGCTAGAATGAAATCCTCGGCATCTTGCAAATATACACAGAGAGGTCATTTTGAGATATGATTACAATGTCAAATGACATGCCTTGAAAGGATTATTATGCAAATGCATGTATGTATGAGGGCACTTCAAAATATTTGCATGCAGTGTAAAGGGGTGTTTTGTGATTATCAACTATACAAATAACCACTGTTGATAAATGAGTCAAATTTCATTTGGGAATCTCCAAAAGACTTTTGTAAGCTTGCATGAGTATTGCGGATTCGGTGGTGTAGCGCTGTGCTAAACTTCATTTTTCATGTACTGACGATGCAGTTTAGCTCATTTCGTCTACTGCATATTGTCATTTTCTTTGGTATTCAGCCTGTGAAAGTGTTCTTTTGTCTACAAAAGCATTGCATGTGCATCGGTGTCTTCTATTTATCACATGTAAGCAAGTTGATTTGCCCAATATAATGATATAGCCCCGTGAATTTATCACTTCAGTCCACCAGTGGTTTGCAATTTCTATTACAAATTCCCTGGTTCTACTTATAGGTGAATCGTAGCATTATCATCTGACAGAGCCATGAGATACTTCGTTGTTTTGATGTAGGCTCCGCCCTTATCTGTAGCAACAATGACATAAGCTACATTATGCTTCCATTGATAAGTTACAAGCACACCACTTAGTCCAGCAAGCTTCCTTATGATTTCCTTTTCATCCTTAGAGATCAGATTCATAAGTCAACCGACCCTTGCTTAGACTGGATAAGGACATCCAAACAACATGATGTCGTTTTGTAATAGATGAGGCATCATCATCTGATGAGACCAAAGGCTCGGCTGGTGCATCGTTAGATTGCTTTGTATTCAACTCATCATAAGGTAGTCTCCTCAAAGAATTGATATGACAAAGTGCAAAGTCATCTTTGATGTCTCAGCGGCATCCTAGTATCTGATATGCATATGATACATGAAAGCTTCCTTTATGGCTCCAGAATAATATACTTGAGGGGCATGTTTTATGCATTTGTGATGCACATATAGGACATCGGGTGACAAGGCTTGATCTCCAAATATTTGCTCCCCATTTAAATGATGCAAAATATCTTCAGAAGCCTCAGTATTTTTGAAGCGATGATAGAATGAGACATTTTTTTCAACTGCTCATTCTTTTATTCTACAAAATCATTCAAAGAATCATTCAACTTCACATACTTAGCGTCATAGTTAGGGCCTCCTACTGATAGCAGATCAACGGGTTTCTTGCAATAGCTTGCAGATATTTGCAGTTTTCAGAAGTTTTCGATATTTTTGCAGAGATGATAAGATGGAACACTTCTTCAACTAATCATTCTTTGACTCTGCAGAATCATTTAACTTTGCATGCCTCATGACACATTTGGACTCTTCTTTGATAGCGTATCAACAGGTTTTCTCCGTACATCGAGTTGCCTTTTTACCCAACTATCATTGTCAGGGTCCATGTTCATAGGGCCTACCATACTTGCAACATGTCTAATATGCTCCAAGACCATTAAAGTTCCCAAATGATTTAGTACTTTTCAGCTCCTCCTTTAATACCCAAGCTCTCAAATCATAAATCAACAACAATTTCAAGCCTTGATCATAAGTACCAATGGAACATATCATATTGACATAAAAATAAGAGGTTGCAACATTAAATGGAATGGCATTCTCATAGAAGAACCATTGAATATCCATGTAAACATGTCTATGCGCCTCTCTAGCATTCTCAAGAGACATTTTTAAGCTACAAACTAGCCATACTTCTTGTCATACTCCAAATTTATCATATATTAATCCATAGGTCTCTTGAACTTTTACTTGATATTGGTGGCAAAGATCATGAGAGTTTTCCCTCCATGCTCACTCCTATAATAAGATCCAAATCAATTTTATAACCAAATTATCGTTGTGCCAAATGATTTGAGATCATTGCCTTATTCATATATGCTCAAATCTCTTTTTTTATTTCTCCGGCACATTGCCACATGGTACAACATTTTTGTGCAAGCCAGAAAAGCAATCCTTCATGCTTGTAACATTCCCTTAACAACCTTCTAGCAATAAATGCACTTTAGATAAACACATATTTTCATATTTCCACCTATGTAAATTTGCACACACTGTCTCCTCCTCGGATCCTTTCTATGCCCCATTGCACTTTTGTCTTTGCCAGTCACAATTTTAGAAAAATTCTAAAAACAGTGAATGCCTCAAGAAGAAAAAATACCAAATTGCGTTAAGGGGATCTTCAAATTGCGCAATTAAGAATCATGATACAAAGTGAGGAAAAGAAAACATTTGGGCCTAGCATTGTAAAAGATATTAAACCAAACCAGGATTTCTCACCGAGCAGAAGCAAGGTGTGCAACACAGCACAACAAGCACACTTTCATGTACTTCATAGGAAAGCAATGCCAGAGCTAAAGGATCAATTCGCTTTACTTCTTAATCATGCTTTTCATAACACCTTTTTATAAGCACGGTAAATCATGGATCTATGGAAGAGATGCATGGACAATATTTTAACTTTCTCACATATTTTCTCTTGATATATGCTAGATTTGGGGAGACAACTCGCAATGACAGAGAGGTCCTTATAAAATTAAATGTTTGATGTTTAGCAAAAAAATTAAAATAAAAAAGAGTATTAGGAATTGGAAGATCTTACAATTAATGGTTTGTTCTCAAGAAGAATTGTCCTGCTAAAGTTAGTGAGCTTCATTGCCATTACCAACCGCCTGATCTGCCAGTCGATAGGCAAAGAGTCGACAAGCTCAAAAAAGTAGGTAGCATAACCATATTCTGGACGCTCCAAAACAATTCTGCAACAATACAAATCACAGGATGACTTTCACATATAATATGGCTAAAGAAGTGCACAAAATTATAGGTGACATTGATCCAATAACAAGCTCAACCTGTTGTGTGTTTGAAAAACAAAAATAAAAGACTGCAGAGGCCTACACCATCCCCAATCAATAGGAATTTGACGAAAGCGCAGATAGCGAGCCTGAAGGTAAACAAATAATAGCAATGATAATGAGAATGACTGCTCTAGAAAAAAAAAACAAAAAATAAATAAAATTCTCTAAGGAGATTATTCATCTTTGTACTTGTAAATTACACAAAAGTCCTTGAGATCTTTATGTTGTTATTAGCTGCAGATTCTGATTTTACTATAGGGATGAAAGATGTAAATAGGATATTGTTTCATCATAAGCTCAAAACATAAATCATAAAAGAAACCATTTTTTACATCTATAAGTCAACCCTGATCCAAAGGTCACCAAATTAATCAAATTCGTTTGTTGAAAAAGTGGTGAATTATTTGTACTTTATTAATCATATGATTAGTGCTTCTAATTATCAAATTAAATTAAAATATGATTAAAGAATCAATTATTAAAAATATGGATGAACTACTAAAAGTATACATAGATATATAGATGAGGATAGTTACTGATGGAATTAAATGGCCATACAAGTTTTTAAGGGATGGACTATATGATGATTCATATCTGCGTAGAAAATAGGGTAGAGGCGTGATAGAAGCCTTATTTTATAATGACTCGTGATTTTATGAACACATACTTCAATTAACTATGGTGGTCAATTACATAAAAATGGACCTATCAAATGATAAATGATTTCATTTACCTGTAAAGAGAAATATTTTCTAACAGGATGGTAACGCTATTCTAGGCACAAGTTTAATCAAAAAACAAAAAAAAAAAATCTTCATAGATGGAAAATATAGATAAATGAATCAAAAGTAATAAAAATCCTAGTGAATGGCAGAATTTAAATGCTAAGAAGCTATCAACATATCAAGATAGGAGATTGGATAGTTAAAATAGAATCTTATAGTTGAACCAACCTTGATGTGAGATAAGATACTTATTCAATCTACTTGCTCAATCCTTTGCCTCTGCTTGATTTATGACTTGATCTTACACCATGCTTCACTTATACCAATGTTTAAAATTGTGTATTCGGGTATTGAGGCGTTTTTCATTCGTGAGGCGAGGCGTAAGCCTCAAGGCGTTTTGAGGCGTAAGCCTCAAAATCAAAAGATTGCGTAAACATAAAATGATAAATTTTTTAAATACTAATGAATGAATAATATAAAACATAAAAAAGCATAAGATATGAAGTGAAATCAAAATATCTCAATAATAAGACAACATGAAATATAGTTCAACTCAAAATTCTATCTTTCCCAAATCCCAGTATTCTTTTCATTAACATATAATTCCAATTTCTAAAAATAAATAGCAATGACATATCACATAAGAACTCATAAATCATCAACACTGTCATCACTAAGGGGTTGTTCATTTGAATCATCATTATGATGAACTGCTCTCTCCCCTTCCTCCTTTCCTATAGAGTCCAATGTCGGGCATTTACTTCAAGATTTACGTAAGTTTTAATATATATAGCGTGAGGCGTAAGCCTCATGCCAGTGAGGCGAGGCGGGCCTTAAGGCGGGCCTCAACCAAGTTGAGGCGCAAGCCTCATAACAAAAACTCGAGGCGTAAGCATTGAGGCGTTTTTTACTGGAATTGCGCAAAGGCGGGCCTCAAGGCGAGCCTCATATTGCGCAATTTTAAACAATGACTTATACCACCAGGAAAGGTCGCATACTAATGCTGAAAAAGTTGGACTAATTAAAGGACTTGATCTTCATATCAACTTATGTGCATGTGCAAATCGACGTAATCCTACAATCCCTCCCAAAGCTCATCTCCTAGAGCAGGGTCCAAACAACGACCTCAATAGGGCAAGATTAATTCCGAAATGATACAATCTAAAAAAATATTCAAAAATCCTAAAAGGTCATCACCAAATATAGATATGGTCACTATAAAAATAATACATAAAAGCTAATTATAATCAAACAATTACAATACTTACTATGCTCTCTCTCTATCAAAAGGAGGAAAGATGAGAGCAATTGAGTCGGAAAGACTTCTAAAATTGTTAAACATCCCTAAAAACTGGCAAACAGGTATTAACCAAGTCTCTCATATGCATAACTTTTCTAAGAGAGGCCAATCACAATTTGGTGACTTTTTCACCTTTAAAACTAGAGAAAAATCTTCTCAACGAACTATAGGCTTACTACACCTTGCCTTTACAATCCTCAACTTAAAAGGTAACACAATTCATCGAATAAACTATCAGCTCTTTGCCCCCAAAGCGGATAAAATAGCTCTTAAGAGAGAGGCCTACTTTCAATATCATTTTTTATGAGGAATCTTGAACAAAATCTTCCCTAAACATTTAAGTTCTTAATACACTAGGAAAGAGCTATACCACATCACATATGAAAAAGCTTGTACAGTGCACCTCCATTCTTTCCTATCAACAATCCACAACAATCATTTCAAAACACTCAAATTCCAAAGAATTATAAACCAAATCCATAGGGCTAATGAGCACCGCTTGATCTTTAGTAACATGAATCTCAAAGATAAGATAAGTTGCTTCTCAACACTCTAATAAACCAACAGACCAAAAAACCAATCAGTTAGGGGCAATTCCATCAAGTTCAAATCTCAAATATGAACTGTTTTCCCATTCAACTTTCCACATCAGCAAAAATGCTAAATTATCCTTCACCATCACCTTTATAAATTCCCCATTGACATGAAGATAAAGGGGCTTCTAACTCTCATTCTCCATCTCAAAGGGAAGTGATTTAGAACTACGTATGGATGCAATGCTTTTGGTTAAGATTTTGCACAACTCTTGATTAGAGAAATAACAAAGAAAACTATTAGCAATTTAAAACAACGGAATAAAATGAAAAAGGGATCACGCCCGCTTAGGCTAAGTCACATAACCAGAGATTTGAAACTTCAAAATAAATTAGAAAACAACATCATGCCAAAATAGTAGTTTCAATAAAAATCCCTAGTCTAACAGTGAGATTAGCAACCACATGAATACACTCAAAACCTTACATTTACTAAGCTTAGCAGAAGCAGACAACGGTTGGCCTTCGTGACTACAATCAATATCATGAGAAAAGTTAGATTCAAGAAATAAGAGAAAAAAAAGTGTAGGAAACCTTCGTCAAGGATCGGTGGCGATCCTCCACTCAACGACCTCCAATTGTTCCTCGATGGCTTCCACAAAGGTATCCAAGATCCGCTCAATATAATCTTCCACCGTGTGGTCGATTCTCAGGTTGACGTCGAAGAAAGTTGAATGGTTAATATGCACAAATCCGTGTTCGTCGTAAGCAAGCCCGTAGTCCATCTCCGGGTCAGCCATCCATGCGAGAAGTCGCTGCTTTAACTTTGGGAAGTGTTGGATGACAAGGAGAGACTTCTCCGATGGTGCTACAGTGAGAAGGCTCCAGCGGAAACTGATGGACAACAAGCTGTCCCTTTTAGACAGCAGTTTAAAACCTCTGGCTGATGAAAATCCAAGAAGGGATGTAGGAATTTTTCTGGCAGCAATCTTGGAGAGCAGAAAATCCAATGTGGGAAGGGGTTAAGGAGGGATTTGTGGAGGGAAAACAGCACAAAGACTTTAGGAGTTTTTGGCCAGCAGGGGAGGGGAGCTGGTGGCTTAATTTCAACTTGGGAGGATTGGTTTTTGGAAAGATTTAAGGAGGGGATTAAGCGGAATTTCAGCCAGAAAAAAAAACAAGAGAGGTTTTGAATTGTTTCCAAAAGGGTGAAGTGATTTCAGGAAATAATTTTAAAGGAAATATTTATGGGGCCGGCGGCATAAGGAAGAGGAGGAAATTGTGGAGGCATTCAATGTTTACTTAAATTAAGGAATTAAATTTGGAATGATAGATTTCATCCAATTTAATTTGAAATTTAAATAGGCTATGAATTAGGAAGTTACCAAAAATAGGATTATAATTTATGTAACTATTTTAAATTCAAACGTATTTGAATTTACTCATGAATAGAGTTACCTAAAATATGAAAGGCTTATTTCGGAAAGGTTTAATGGCAAGTAGATGATGGAGAGAAAAACCAAGAGGAGGGGCCGGCGGTTTGGGGGGGTTTGGTCGTGGGTGGTGGTGGTGGAGAGATTGGTGGTGGTCGGCGGCAAGATGGGAGGGATCTTGGCCGGCGGCTAGGGTGGAGGGAGGGGTCAATGAAAAAAAAAACAAAGTTAACAAACTACGAACCCGACCGTCTCCAAGATTGGTGGGTGATCCGATCTCCCTCTCCTAGGGATTCACCAATCAAACTCTCAAGTTCTCACAAGAACTCATGCAAGGAAGAAATTTTAATCAATCATTCATTCTACGTTGCCCTCCCCGAGGGACTTCAATCCACGAGCCCGAATCCATCCTGCGGCTGATGGAAACAAGATTGTCCTCCCATATGATTTTTCCTCTCCAGAACTCAAGGCTAGTGGAAACAAGGTTGTCCTCCCATAGGACTTTTCCTCTCCAAAACTCACATAGAGATCAAGACAAAAGCTCCAAAGTTTTTTTCTTTTTTTTCTTTGTTTTCCGTCCCTTCACCCTAGCCTCCGGCCAAGAACCTTCCCATCTTGCCACCGACCACCACCCACCTCTCCACCACCACCACCCACGGCCAAACCCCCCCAAACCGCTGGCCCCTCCACTTAGTCTTTCCCTCCATCTACTTACCATTAAACCTTTCCCAAATTAGCCTTTTATATTTTAGGTAACTCTATTCATGAGTAAATTCAAATATGTTTGAATTTAAAATAGTTACCAAAATTATAATTCTACTTTTGGTAACTTCCTAATTCATAGCCTATTTAAATTTCAAATTATATTGGATGAAATCTTTCATTCCAAATTTAATTCTTTAATTTAAGTAAGCATTGAATACCTCCACAATTCCCTCCTACTCCCTATGCCGCCAGCCCCATAAATATTTCCTTTAAAATCATTTCCTGAAATCACTTCATCATTTTGGAAACAATTCAAAACCTCTCTTGCTTTTTTCTGGCTGAAATTCCGCTTGCTCCCCTCCTTAAATCTTTCCAAAAACCAATCCTCCCAAGTTGAAATTAAGCATTAAACTTTAAGCTTAGTAACGGATTCGTGCACATTAACCATTCAACTTTCTTCGACGTCAACCCGAGAATTGACCACACGGTGGAAGATTATATTAAGCGGATCTTGGATACCTTTGTGGAAGCCATCGAGTAACAATTGGAGATCGTTGAGTGGAGGATCCCCACCGATCCTTGACGAAGGTTTCCTACACTTCTTTTCTCTTATTTCTTGAATCTAACTTTTCTCATGATATTGATTGTAGTCACGAAGGCCAACCGTCGCCTGCTTCTGCTAAGCTTAGTAAATGTAAGGTTTTGAGTGTATTCATGTGTTTGCTAATCTCACTGTTAGACTAGGAATTTTTATTGAAACTATTATTTTGGCATGATGTTGTTTTCTAATTTATTTTGAAGTTTCAAATCTCTGGTTATGTGACTTAGCCTAAGCGAGTGTGATCCCTTTTTCGTTTTATTCCGTTGTTTTAAATTGCTAATAGTTTTCTTTGTTATTTCTCTAATCAAGAGTTGTGCAAAATCTTAACCAAAAGCATTGCATCCATACGTAGTTCTACATCAGGAAGAGGGCTCGCCAATGAGCCCTTGATGTTCATTTCAAAGGGGGGAACTTTATTGAAATAGCTTCAACTCTCATTCACCTTCAAACTCAATCAATTACGTGAGTGCCATGCAAAAAATCCTAGGGATGACATCTTATTTCATTGGTTGTGTACAAAACATAATACTAGCCTTGACAATGACATGATATTAGGCTTGAGCCAATCCACTAACAAAAATTTATCAGCACTCAAAAAATATGCAAGTCTGATACCAAATGTCATAAAACTGAAATTAGATTGGCAATTGTCCATGAATCAAAGTGGTGGGAGATAAAAAAAAAAAGGTGGTGGGAGATGGAGTCGCTTATAACCAAGTTCAATGTGGTTGAAATGAAAAATAAGATAAAACAAATAAATAATCAAACAAAAACATGATAGACTGAAAAATAAATATTGTTAAAAGAAATTGAACAATTCCTGTTGAGGATAAGGAAAGAGAAAATAGACCATGTACAATGGAGGGGAAAATATGCATCAATAAGATGATTTTAAAAAATAATATGGAATGGATAGTAAAAAGGAAAATAGGGTAGACTAAAAATTTTTTAAAAAAGAATCAAATATAACATTTCTAGAAATTTTGCCAAAAAAATTACTCAAAATAAGTAACAACTCTCAAGAAACACCGTATGTATGGGTGAAGAATGATGATGCAAAATCCCAAGTAGTTGGGACAAGGCAATGATGCTGATCATCATAAGATTACTCCTAAAAAACAGGGACTACTGTGTTTTTCAGTATGCCACTAAGAAAAAATTCTAAATAAAACCTCAATAGAAATTGTAGGATAACTAGAGGATGTAGAATAAAGAAAAAAGGAAATTTATTCTTATTTCTTGCTCATTTCAACCGGGAGAGAAACACTCTTATACAAAGACAATTTTTCACTACAGGGAGAAACTAAAATAAAGCATAAAAACAGGGGAAGATATTAAGAGAATAAACAGACAGAAAAAACAATAAATCAGAATACAAAAGATCCTCCAATATGGAAATCAATAGCTTGTATTCTAGTTATCCAGATACCCCTTTCCCTTTGGGAAAAAGGAAATATCCAACAGTAGCAAGAGAAAAAGGGGAAGCAGAAAAATCAGTATGCATGATTTCTGGAAATCCCCAATTGAATGCAGGAGTTGCCAGTGGAAAATTAGATCCGCAAAACCTTCAAGACGCTCAGAAATTCCGGGATCCACGCTAAGAGAAGAATTGGAGGGATTAAGCAGGGAGTTTGTAGGTACAGAATTGAAGTTTGAACGTTAAATTGAATCAAGGAATTACATCCAGGATTTCCACAGATACCAAATACTGGACGTAGCTTCACTAATCAAATATACTCATGAAAACTGAAACAACAAAAAACAAGTAACACTGGACTAAACGTCATCACGTAGTAAAAAATTGGAAAATTAAAAAGAATATTCTAATTTTCTTAGAATAAAAAAATTAAATGGAAAATGCATTGCTTGGTGAAACCACTTAATCATAAACATTTACTAGAGTCGAATACCTGTTCAATAAGTGAAATCAAGCCAGCCAAGCAATAAACAGCTCTTGCTCCCTTCACAGGTCGTCCCGAAGCAAACCTCAAAAGAGATGAACGCTCTGAAAATAACTGAAAAAATAAGATAACTAATTATTACAAAGTACGAGTAAAACAACCACTGAAACAATTGCCCGCAAAGGTGAAATAAATTTATGTTATTTTAGTAGCATAACAAAAAAACATTGACCTAATTAGAGCAGAAGTGAAAAAGAAGAAAATGTAAAAAATTTAAATGTATATCATAATGGTCCAAGGAAAGCTTATATTGCTAGTGCAACAAAATACACTAAACTAGATCTGTCTAGGAAAAGAGACAAGGGGGAAAACATTGCAATAGTTATAAATAAAATTGCAATAGTATACATAAAATTATTTTTCCCAATAAATAAATAAATAAAATTCTCAAAAAACATACAAATGATGCATAACATCAAGAGAAAAATATTCAAGGTTATCATGCTTAGCATTAAAAACTACAAAATCATCAATGGATCAGGATATTTGTCATTGGTAAGATAACAAATAAATTTTTTTAATTTTTTTGTAATAATAATAATATAAAAAATAGTAATAAAAACACAAATAAAAAAACACTCGAATTTACTTGAAAAATCCTACACAAATAAATAAACACGGACCGAGAAGAATTCACTGTCGAAAAATTGGTACAACATAACCTCAAAACTCCAATAATATGTATATGTGAAAAAATAATAAAGATCCATGCTGCAGGAGCGTCGCTGTCATCACAAATCCTCCCAAAAAGATGCCCCACATATTTTGCATTGTGAGCCTTTAGGCTCGCCTAACATAACTAAAGTCACAAATTCTAATATATATTTTTTCCATTATGTAAAGCACCACTGATCATTAGCCATAATCATGAATTTTCACCATGTGCAATAATGTTCAAGCTATCCGTTCGTGAGGACTACTCAATAGATAAATTCTCCACTCTCAATCAATTTTAAAACACAATAAGAATGAGAGAGAATTCTATATCAGCATTGCGAACAACATCTAAGAAATGCAAATATGAATCCTGTTGAAAATTCAATCAAGTCTCAAGCAGAATATCGGCAGCAAGTTTGGGATATGCAAAAAGAAAAATGAAAGAAACTTCATAGCAGGAAATTTTGAGAAGGGACAGAGCTATTGCAAGAGATGACTAAACCTGTGAAAGCCCATACTCAAGTAAGCATTCTGAATACCAGTTGGCATAACGACCCACAGATGCTTTACTTATACATCTCCAATTACTTGCAGAGTAATCATTTCTCGAGCATACACTAGTAACAAAGGCAGATCTACGATGCATGACTCACAATTACTACCTCATAATTCTGTTCAGAAAGATTCAATGATCAAAGTTACAATGCTATGGTATAATAGTTGAACCCTTAATTATAATTATTTATTTATAGATTAAACATGCATAATATTTTGCATTTGGTTATCTCACACATTGATACTTGTGGACCCACCACTTTTGACAAACGCAGCTTCCCATGCAATCCATCAAATCAGGTTGTTTTTGTTTTTCTATCCATCAAATCCTTTCTCCTATGTGACGAGGCTTCCCTCTATCTCTCTTTCTCTGCAAACCTACACATGGAAAACTCTCAACAAAGAATGATCATTGAAAAATCTCAACAAAGACTGCTCTCTCTAGCTTGCAAAGCCAAGCTATAATATTTTTCTCCAAATATCCGGTCCCCATGTTACCAACTGAGTTGGTGTCATTCATCGATTATTCAATTTAGTTGTAGGTGTAATGCATTCTTCATACCAAGTCAACATATGATCTGTTGAGAAAAATGGCTTTTTTAAAGAAAATTTCACTTATTTGCCGGCAATATCTATCATAATTCAAGACCCAGGATTACTACACTCACTGAAGTTTTGTTTTACAGTATATAACTCGTTCTATTAATATTTTGTCCGTTTCCCTCTTTCTATAAGCATGAGTAATTTCATTGCATCCTATTTTAATTTCAATCAAAACTTCAACACTCTAATTTTGTAAGGAAAATTGAATTCATAGTTTAGAATTATTTCATTTGAAAGAGCATTTGAAAATAACTATTGCAAGCATTTACATCGCATCAATATTTGAGTTTTAGATATTCTTTCTTTAGAATTCAATTACATCTTACAATTGCTATTTTAAATAAATAACCACACAATTAAATTCATCATAGTAATTATTTTGCAGCCCTAGCTCTCAGTCTTGGCTTCTCCATTGACAAGACATTCTTTCAAGGATGAAAGCAAATTTGTTATTCAACACAAATAATTTACTGCATATCAATCACCACCACCACCAACAACAACAACAACATCAAGTCTTTATCCCACTATGTGGGGTCAGCTACATGAATCCTTTTTCTCCATTATATCTTGCTAAGAGTCAAATTCTCATTTAAATTTAATAAAAAAAAAAAGTCATTTCTAATAAAAAAATGTCAATCACCACTTGAAAAAAAATCAGTTATTCCTCCCTACTATTGTCTTAATTAAGAAATAATATAATCGCCAATTCATAGGTATATTAATTGGTAAAGTTAAACTTCATTGCAGACAGTTTTGTTGTTCTATTAAATTCAAAATTTTCAAATGAAATTTGCAGCACATCAATTGCCAAAGAAGGCACTAGTTCACAAGCGTTCCAAATTATAAAGATGTCCTTTTGACTATAGGGGTACAATGCTCTGTGACGCCAAGCTTAGAGACCCTAAGTAGTCTGCCGGCCTGTGGCCTCAACGTGAAGCATACAAACACATAACACAGCCAATCTGCCAAGCATGGCGTGCATAGGAGGACAAAAAGGTAAGCATGACCTCATTCATTGATGATGAAAATTGTTAAAATCCCAACCATCCCTTAGGCCCTTGATCCCACGGCCAAGGATGGAGATCCGTGGGAGGCTCACTTGGATTATGCCAATCTCCTTCCATATTAGGGTGGCTGATTTAGGAAGGATTATATTAGTGCAATTATGAATAATTTTGTATTTAATTGTTTCTTTATTAAGATATCTTGCATAGATCTATAAATAGGGATAAATTTGTGTAATAATAATTGAATCCTTTTTCCCTCTCCAATTATGTGAATTCTAACATGGTATCAGCCAATGGCCTTCATTGTCGTTGTAGAAAGATCAAAGAGGGAAAAGAAGAAGAAATCCTGGCCGGAAGGGAGCTTCTTGGTATCCCGATCCAAGTATCGGAACATTCGATCCCACAGGAACGAAAAGTCGTCGAAGGAGCGTAGTAGAACTCCACGAAGGAGCCGAAGAAGCAACGAATACAAAGCCGGACAAAGCCTTGCGCACGACACGGACGGAGCTGACGGCAAGATCGGAGCTTGTGAACAAAACAGACGGGGCATTACCGCTTAATCTCACGCCAAAGCTTGCGAACGAAGAAGACAAATGCTGTAAGGGGCCGACCGGTTCTGCTCTCACGCCGACGTCGAAACCAGGAGCTCATTCGGAATGGAGATGGAGCTCCTCACGCGTGCGCCCTAGCTTATGCTCGATCCAAGTTTTTTAAATACTCGGCTCGGTTCAGATTATTAAACCGAGAGGAAGCCGAACAGCAACGACGAAAGTCGAACATCGACGAGCCCCGAAGACTCCCACATAGAGGAAGACACTCGCTCAGACGATTCGATCGGGAGATTCTTTCATTTTTTTTTGTTCGCTCAGATCCGCAGAGACACTGAGCCGACAGCAACAAGAAGCCTTAAATTAGATTTAAGATCTGATTAAGACCTAATATCAGCCTTTATTGCTGATATAATCAAATCAGCCTTTATTGCTGAAATAGCCTTTATTGCTGATATAATCAGCCTTCATTGTTGATATAATTAAAAGTAGTCTTGTGATATCACAATGACTGAAGAAAATTCATCTCAGAGTGTTGATAAAAAAAGGAAAAAAAAAACATCGGCCTTTATTGCCGTAACTAAAGATCGGTGGGATCTTATTTTTTGGAAGCCTTCATTGCTTTCCAGAATCAAACAGATAGTCTTCAATCTTCATTACTATCAAAAATGTCGGAATTTTGAGGAATATTGGTCATTCTACAGGCCTTTATTGTTGGAATTATGAGGAATGCAGGTTCTCACCTCCGGCCTTCATTGCCAGAACTTTGTGTCATATATTGTCGTGCCTTCATTGCCGACCTTCCCTTGAGAACCAAGAAGGAGACAGACCTAAAGGATAATTAATCCACCTTCTTTGCTGCCCCACCACCGACCTTTATTGCCATTCGATATCTTGAGGGCTATTGTTCAACGCAGCCTTCATTGCTACCCTTACAGGCTTGATTGATATAGCCTTCAAAGCTATCATTTATCGTTGAAGCTAATTCTCCCACAATTTTGACCAAATGGAAGACTATGGTACACTAAGGGACTTGATAATTCTACTGGACTAATTACCAAGCTGGGAATGACTTATATGTATTTTATCCAACTTGAGGGGGAGTGTTAAAATCTCAACCATCCCTTAGACCCTTGATCCCATGGCCAAGGATGAAGATCCGTGGAAGGCTCACTTGGATTATGCCAATCTCCTTCCATATTCGGGTGGCTGATTTAGGAAGGATTATATTAGCGCAATTATGAATAATTTTGTATTTATTTGTTTCTTTATTAAGATATCCTGCATAGATCTATAAATAGGGATAAATTTGTGTAATAATAATTGAATCATTTTTCCCTCTCCAATTATGTGAATTCTAACAAAAATGCAATATGAAAGTGTAGCTACGCAAAAGTATATACTCTACATAACTGTCCTGCTTGGTCTTCCATGGGTGAACCACAACACCACTAAATCTATGGCGGGATATTATCTCTATGCCTTCTTAAACAAAATGTTGTACTTGAAAGATTACCGTTCGAGATGACTTGCATGATAGAAAAGAATATATATTTTACATCACAATGTCCCTGACACAAAATTAGGGAAGAAGACGCTATGTTTGAAGGGAATTAGGGAAGGCTGCTTGTTTCGGTTTTCAAGAGACAAACAAGTGAGCAAGAGAGTTGCTTCATTTAGCTTTTCCAAAAAATGAAATCAAAAGGAGGAATCAAGCTGCCTTCTTCTTATTCCTTCAGTTTCTATAAAAGAGAGCAAGGGAGAGAGACTTCATATACTCTTGCTTACAATTGAGAAGAAGCAGTAGAAAACTGGTCTTGGTGTTAGGGCTTTCAGCTAACAGAGAAACAGATAGCAGTTATCTTCTTGTTCACTTCCATTCAGTTGGCTTGGTTGGGCGGGCTAAAGCTTAACTTGTTGTCTTACTCTTTCTTCTTCCTCATTCATCAACTCAAACAAGGTGGTGGTGGAGCTTAACTTGTTGTCTTACTCTTTCTTCTTCCTCATTCATCAACTTAAACAAGGTGGTGGTGGAGACAAGATCCAGAAACAGTCCGAGCAGCCACTGATTTCATTTTTAGTTGCTTTCATGTCCTTCCTGATAAAAGTATAACGACACGAAACCATCAAACACTAGCTCCAGTGAGTTAAAAATCCCTCAAACTTAGGAAGCCTAGGTCTATCAGCCATGTGGTTGTGTATGACTATACCCCCAAGCTCTAGGTTAATTAGGAAGCCTTTGTAGATGTGTTTCAACCCTCAAACCTTACTGTATTCTTACTTAACCCATGAAAATTCGGCAATTTCGTATGGGTTATTCTCATTTGAGAACTTAAAGAAGAGGGTGACCAAGCTACAGGTTATTGAATTTGTATACATTTTAAAATGACCTAAACCTAAGAGGTTAGCGCCACAACCCCCTCAAACCCAATGCCTCTCAATGCTCCCAAAGGAAAATTTTAAGATTTTAATTTCATGCAGACAGACCCCCTGGGACGCACTTCAAATCAGAAGTTAGACATTCACATGCATACAAAACATTCCCAGACATATGAAGAATAAAATATAGAAGTTCAAACACACAAGGCTTACCAAGCCGAGTCACAATGGATGTAACACGGTTTAAGTGGGTATTACATCTATACCTATGGGTTGCAAGTAGGAGCCAAAGGAGGGAACATGTTGGGGAGTGAGAGAGAGATGGAGGTGTGATCAAGGACTTGAACAACGTTGCACGAGGGAGGAGTGAAGGGAGACTGAAGAAGAGGGAAAGACAAGATCGAGCTGGTTAAAGGGTCTATTTGGTAGCAAGATCTACCACAAACACCTTTTCCTCAAAGTAAGAGTGAATAAGGAGGATTAAGCAGGGGGTCCATGAAACCTGAAGAGGGGTCTCGTGAGAGAAGGAGAAGGAGAAGACAACGTGAGAGAAAGTTAAAGATGAGGTTTCAATTTGAGTGTTAGTGTGTGAGATAAGATAAGTGTTGTGACATAGAAAAGAAGAAAAGAATTCATGTGTACGATTGAGGAGATGGTAGGCATTGAGCTAGTTGTGAACGACATGGGTTACGTAGAAATGTGTCCTTTTTTTTTAAATAGGCCAACCGACACCACATTACAAACTTAGGGAATTCAAATTTGATTCTATAACAACCCCAAACACTACTGGAGCAGGAACCTTGGCTCTCCCATTCACTTCTAGAGGTACAAAAATCATTCATAACGGCATCAGGTTCTGCCGTTATCAACTACTTGTTCAAATTAGGTCATTAGATCATAGTCAAAGCTCAAACCACGTCAGAGTAAATGCTAATCATTTCCAATCAAAACTTGACCAATTCACAAGGTAAGGCACAAGTAGAGGGTGCTAGCCCTATCTTCAAGACATATTCCCCCCTAACTTTCATCTAAATTATCATATAAAGTCTCAAGCCATATAGCCTACAAATAGTACCAATGAAGGAGCAAACATTATTCATATATCATTAAACATATTTAAATACCATATACTCACAGTTTTGTTTAACTTAAAATGGCACATGTTACAGGCTAAATAAGTTAAACCTCCTTCAAAAGGACTTGAATCCATATTCACACAAACAGAGCATATTAACCAAGTGGGAGATTGAGGTTTGTTAAATTCACATACTATACATGATCATCAAGTTGTCTTTGAGAACAACCACCAAATCATGCAAGGGAATGTGAGTTTGATAGTAAACACAAAAAAAAACTCAAAAACTACGCTTATAATGAAGAATGAGCAGGTGGTTGTTCCAATATCTACTTTCATAAAGAGGAACTTCTAAAAAGTTAATGCATATAGCTGCAAGCCTGCAATGGCAAAAAATGCAACATAGCAAATAAATATGCAAGAATACATAATATGATGACAAGGAATCAATAAATGATTTCAGCAAAAATTGGAGGCAGCTGCCTACTCTGTTTTCCTCGTATTAGTTTCCATGCACTTGCTGAAAATGACACAATAAAGGAACCAGGCTCAACAAAGTAACCATGAAGTTCAGCTATCATGAAGCTCTAGACTAGCACATATAAAGGAATTTTTCAGCAAAAAAAAAAAAAACTTAACTTGAAAAGATAGAGAACATAATTTTTAATATTAAGCAGAAAACTTAGTAAGCCTGTCAAAAATCAATGCATCAGAACAATCAAATTTGAATGTTATCTCAGTCAAGCCACTAGATGCACGCAGAATATTGAGGTCAGATAGAAATAGCTAGTAATGGATACTCGTACTCCATTAGTAAGGAAGGGCAACTGACATTGAATAAGTTGAACATGTTCAATAAAGTTCACAGATGAAACCTTAGTCATCACAGTTTCAAGCTCTTCAAAACCGCCCTCAGAAGAAGAGGTTTCTAGTGGATCATTATCTTCCAGATCCCCATAAAGTTTAATTTCCTCAACTTGTATGCCTCTATCAAGTAGCACCTACACAGATAAAACCAGTTTTAATATGATTATGGACATAAAATCAAAATAAAAATGTGATCAAGCTGAATGCCTTTAGTAGTCCGGGAGCATCTTCCTCCATAGCCTTCTCCACTGAATCCCTGCACAGAAATTTTTAGAGATAACCTATGGTCGATTGATATTGTTGAAAAGTTTTGCAATAGGAAACGAAAACAGAAAGATGTTGCTATTTACGTTGCAATCTTTTTCCGTTTCCTTTTCCTTCTACTAGAGGAAAGACATTCTTTAGTATTTACAGAACCAAAAGAACGGCAAGCTGGAGTCACTGGAGCAATTTCCTCTGAGATATTCCCATTCTTGACATTAACATCATCTTCAGAAACAGAGATACCCAGCCTCAATTTCAATGGAACATGATCTAGTACGTCTGGTTGGAAATCACTACAAAGCTCTTTTTTATTCTCAAATGTCAGCAATACATGTCCTCTGGTGTTGCAAGGAGGAATTTGCGAGCAGCTCAGAAGACTGCTCTCGACAGGCTCAGATTTAACATTCAGGGAACTGCTGGTTGAAACTGAATTGGATTGTGGTTCTCCAGTATGAACATTAATTTGCGCATATGATGACTGGTTGAAACATTCAGTATCACCAATAACTTGTGAATTGTCATTGCTCATCAAAAGACCATCATGAACATTATCATCCTCTTCATGATGGTGATTCATCAATCCAGTAGTCTCTGAAAGCAGTTTATCCAAACCAGATATCATAGTATTCAGAATTTCAGCACTCGGAATGCGTGGGTCTTTAGGAACATATGTCAGATGGGATAAATTGCAACTTGGGGCGCCTTCCTCTGAAATAAGGAAATGAGGAATAATTTTTTTCTTGAATGTTGGTTGCAGAGAAGAAAAAATTAACAGAACTAGAGCTGTTACCTGGGCAACTCAATTGAGAAAAACTCGAATGCTTCTCAACATACTTTTCCAGAACATTGCTTGCTTCCACTTCTTCAAAAGGTTCATTTTTTACCTTAATAATCATAACGGACGGTGCTGAAACATTTAACCTATTACTGGAGAATTTTTCAGAAGCAATATCAATTTCAGTGTCAACAAAAGATTTGGGTTCTATCTTGATAGGCAAAGCTGATTGGGCTGAAATATTTACCCAATTATTGGAATTGTTTTCAAAAGAAATAATAGGTTCAGTTTCTTTTGAAGGTTTGCCTTTTAGGCTGTAAGCTGGCAAGCCTAAAATAAATAAACTATTAATGCTATTCTCGTGTGTAATATTGTGCTCTGCACTTGGAATGCTATTCGGTGAAACATGTGCTTCATCTAAGCATTTGGAATATGTTTCATGTCTTTCCCTTGATATGTGGCCTGCAAATGAATAAATGCCTGTTGTATTGAATTCACGAGATTTAGTAGGAATAAATCTGCCTTGAGTTCTAAACATTTTATCACTGATATTTTTCTGAAGATCATGCTCTGGAACTATCTTCGGACATGACTTTTCCATAGAGACCTGTGTATCATTAGAATCGCATGTATCATCTATTACTTCATTATAGTTGTAGTTATTTATCCAGTTTCCACAATCACCTAAATTACTCTGAAAATCATCCTGCATAGCATATAGTTCAAGCACATGAAAAGATAAGAAATCAGCAACCTACAGTAAACCAAACAGAATCAGAGCTCTCAGTTCAGTTTAAATTTTCTATTAACAAAAATAATAAATTGATATTTTTAGAAAATTTACAAACAGAGATGGGTTTTTCATCGGATGCAAATATGTGATACAGTCCATAGAAAAATAGCACAAGCAATTATTAAAGGGTATAAAAAAGTTTCCACTGCTTGTTAGCAGCAGGAAAAGAACAGGTCATGGCTAAAAACAAGCATGAAATAGACTCCAAAAAATTTCCTAGGAATTAAAAGCCATATTGACCATATCACCACAATATATAGCTTTTTTCAAATAAAAAAGTCAGTAAATTTGTAAATCTAAACCAACGACCTTGATAGTCCACAATCTTGAGGGAAAGAAAATAAAGAACTAATTTGCGCATGAGGCATTAACTTCATCATAATCATGAAAGAGAACATGTCAAAATCAATTGGATCACATGATAAGGCACCATCATAGAATTTCAAACTATGTGCACAATAAGACAGATTCAGGAAAAAGAACAAATTGGAAACAATTAATCTATAGGTTGCAACTTGCATGATTATTTAAGATAAGTTAATTAGTATTGCAAGCTACATCAGCAAGTTATACAGGAAAAAACGGAGAATAGTAAGAATAAGATGTTATTTTCAGGGACCCAAATGTGACGTGATGATATAAATGTTAATTAGTCACTTTCCTCATTTTTTACTGTAAATACCAAAATAATAGGAACTATACAATTCTTTTATGAATGCTTGGTAACCTTGAAACTATGATTTCTTCCACAATCGTATTTCATAAGATAGCCAAAAGACTGCTAAATTATCTTTATTCCACATATTTTGAAAATATGACATATCTCTAGTATACACTCTCTACTCTGACATATCTTTTCACAACAGGGTGCTAAATCTATTCAAGATTACCATAATGCCTCTCCTCATAATGACTGATCCCACTATTTGGAAAAAAACATAATGAAGAATTTATTGTTGCCAAGATTATCTCGAAACTCCATCCGCCTCTTCAGCTTATTCAGACTCAATTAATGTCTGACTTCGTTATTCATAATATCTCCATGGCTCTTTCATGTATTTCCATAATCATTGAGCTTATCACACCAACTTTTTCTAATCACAAAAATGTCATTCTCGCCATTAGCACAAAAGGTAGGGAAAATGTGGTCATGGTGGTCCCAAAGGTGGGCATGATTATGATAGTGGTCGCAACTCCTTTCTGCCCAGCCAAATTTATCAAAGAACTAATCACTTTTTAGAACAAGGTATAGAAATCTTGATTACACTTCCACTACTCAAAATATCACTAGAACTAATAATTCTACTAGTACTCATTATATTTATGCCTATCACAACACTCATAACTGACTACTACTACCACTGCAGTTTTCTCATTTAATTTTATCGTAGCTGTTCACTTTGGCATGTGTTGGGCCTTATATTCTGGCACATTTTCCACAACTGATAACTCACAATTAATTTCCTCGCTTACCATGCAAGCTATTACTTTTGTTATTATTGTTGATGTTTTTCTTCATCATGTTTCTAGAAAAGGATCTATCAATATATCCTCCAAGTTAACTTTAAAATAATATTTTATTAGCGTACTATTTATAATATTCCTTACTGAAGGATAAAATTAAAACGATCATCATATATATCACCATTCTTCCATATATTAATTCCAAAATACTTAAAACTATCACACATATATAATTTTAACTTCTAATAATACCGGATGATAAACTTTCTCAGCATGCCCGCAAAAATTATATATCATATTCTCAGTCTTCATCTATTATTCAATTTTTTTTACTCATTTCCTCAAATATCTCACTAATTAGAATTATATCATTTATAAGAAGTTTACACCAAGTCATCTTGCTTTGCATATTCTTTATAAGCAGCTCCAATCTCCATAATTATTACAATAAATTATAAACTCAATGTCAATTTTTAATGTGAATTTGCAGAGTCAAAAACTCTTGGGTGATGGGGATTTTTTCTATTTTTAACAAATATAAAATATTTTATGATCAAGTATAGCTTAGAAAATAATACATTATACTAAAAGAAAAAAATTATTATTTCACAATGGAATAAAAAAAGTTTGCATTTTACTTTTATATGCCAAGATATTTTCACCTACACAATATGTTTAATTAAATAGGGGTTAATTTTTATTCTGGGATATAAGTTTCTCATAAGGGCATGCCCCTATAATTAACTACATTCTAAAAATGCTTGTCCATTGAGAAAGTTTTTGATTAAAATAGTAATTTATATATTTTTAATCAAAACATTGGCTAATATTTTTATATGATTTTAAATAATTGTATTTCAAAGATTTAGTTTTATAGAATTTCAAGGATCAACTTAGAATTAATTTCTAGTAGAATAAAGAAAGAGTAAGAATACTTGATTCTGAGAAGCTTAGAGAGACTCAATACAATTATATGTTGTTTTATATTTTGTAAGGATGTGTACAACAAATGTTGGGACAAACTGATGAATTTGGAGCGAGTCATATACACATAGTTGCCTCTCCTTTTGTTTTTCATTCTCTTTTGTTGGTATTCCTTTTATATTGTTTTCTTTTTTTAGAGATAGAGAGAGAAAAAATATTTTAGAGAAAGATGGACCAAACTGTAGAGAAAGATAGTGAGAGAGTGAGTGAGACACAAAGTGGAGAGACAAGGGTTAGAGAGATTGAAGGAGAAAAAGAACAGAAAAATAAGAGGGATTGGAGAGATGAATTGATGATTAGGAGGTTTAGCTAGAGATGGCACTTAAGGTATGAGGTCGTCAGCAAGTTGATAGTGAAATAATTGGCAATTTTGGATTGAGGCCAACGACAGACTTGTTGGGGAAAGGAGTTCACGACAACAACTGTCGAGTAGGTACACTTGGCAAGAGAGATTAGGGGAAGGAGTGGTGGCAGGTCGAAGGCGATGACAACATCGCCGAAGATGATGAATTTCATGGATGTTAGGCAATGACAATGTCACCGAAGATGATGACTTTCAAGGATGATGTTGTAGCAAGATACGAGTAGGGTTTGTGCAGGATTAACTTAAATCCACACATCTCTATAACTCCTCTTCTCCCTCATAGCAATTTGTCCATTTATGCCTTCACCAATGAGCACCCAATCACAACCTCTTCACATGTCATTGATCCATCGATGCCCTTTTTAGTGCACTCACATAATAAATTTATGCTTCTCTATTGCCAAGGGTTTCACAGGAATTTGTGAATGAGAAAAAGAAAGCAAGAGAGGCTCACAAAGGGAAGAGCAAGTGGGAGCGTGAGATTGGACCAAGAAATTGCACGCATCTCACGCAAGAAGGAGAAGAGGAAGTTGAGAAAAATGAGGATGAGGCCTACTTGTTTTGTAAGGAGAGAATGGGGCCACCATGTTCAATTTTTTGTGTTCAGATATGGGACTATTATATATATATATATATATATAGAAAGAGAGAGAGAGAGAGATTTTGTTGTATGTTTTAATTTATCAGGCATGATAGAAATAATTATGTACATTGATAACTTACACAATTTCTCGTTTCCCGCGTGTCTTGAATTTAATGTCAATGCCTCATGCATGGTTGAATTTTTAATTTATGAATAAAGAAGATTTCTTTGGATTACAACAAGCTAAAGATACAGATGGAAAATATTCTTCAAATAACTTTTAATATTTAATACCTTGATTGAAATAAGGACCCTCGAAATTCTAAATTTATAAATTCTAAGTTCTAACTACAATTTTTTTCCAAATTCTATTGAATGGTGGATCCAGTTTGATGATGTCACTCAGCTACAATGCTTTCATGTTAAGATATGGGACTACATGCTCATCATATGGATGTGAACATAACTATAACACATATAATCAAATTCACACGAAAAAAACATCTAAAGACTACAAGGACGAACTCCTTAGTACATATAATATACAACAAAAAGATTGAATAAAAAAATCTCAGAAAAAAGGGATTTGAATGATGATGAGGATTCCCTACTATTTGATGATATGCATGCTATCAAATGATGAATGATGTAATGAGGTCACAACATTTGATTTGCAACAAGGAGATTTGAATGTTGATTTCTTCAATGGGGACGGAAACAAAAAAGTACATTTAACACAATTCAACAATAAAAACAAACAAAAAGAAAAGATATCTATAATAATTTAAAATTTTGAAGTTACTTTACACTTTAATTAATATTCTTAATTTTTATTGATTATTACTGATTAAAATAAATAAAAATAACTAAGATTGAAGAAGATGATGAAGAATTGGATAATTTGAACTCAAATTGAAGTTAAGACAGGGAGAAAGCTATTAATTATGAAGACAACCTCAAGGAAAATCCCATTAATGATGACAATGTTGAGGACTTCTGATTACTTCTGCTTACTTGTTGTATTCTTAATTAAATCATTGGATGATGCCATGTTCGACAATCGAAGTGAGAGTGAGAAACTTACTATTAGTTGATATTTAAATTGCACTTATGCTTTGAACAATTTATTACTTGATACTTTACAGTTTGCGCAATTTTGTTATTTGATATGCATGCAAACTATTAATATTTACTGTGTTAGAATGTTAATATATCTTTTTTTATACTAATGGTTTATGATGCTAATATATTACTTATTAACTTCATTTTGGCTTCACATTATTTTTAATTATCAGGCTTATACCTCAAAACGCCTTCAAGCTTGCACCTCACTTAATGAAGAAAAGAAAATTTCCTTGATAACCAACTGTGCAATTTTCAACCATACTTCACTCTATTATTTATCAAGTTCTTCCAAAATAATTCTTTTTTATTCTATCATTTATTAATTTCTCAATACAGCATTTTCATCTTTCCACAATGTTTAATATTTAATCAACATCCTACTATCTCATTTTT